TGTTCATAGCCGGTGCTCCGTAATAATAAACCACGTAAAGTCGAGACCCTTCTGTTTTGGCACTGATCTAAGCAGAGTGCGTTCTCACCTATTTGTTTTGTACATGTATAGAATATTCATGCGCTGCCACGTCGGTTATGATACCAGCGTAGGGGATGTCGAGACGAGGAAGCTGCTTTTGGCAGACAACTTTGTTCTATGGCATCTTCTGAATCTGAGCTACTTCGCTTTCTAAAAAGGTTCGCAACCGAGCGGGACATGGCGACATGCGTGTGAACGTATCTAAAACAAAAGGCTTAGTAATTTCTTTTCAGAAGTTGCCGTGGCCTCTTCAAATTAACGAAGAGGCAGTGGAGCAGGTGGGGAAGTTCAAGTATCTCGAAATTGTATTTACTAGCGATGGAAAATCTGAGGAAGAGATCGACCGGAAGAGCGGAATGGCTAGTGGCGTTCTGAGAGATTCACCCCGAACCATCGTGATTAAATCTGGTGATGTTAGTCGATTTTTATCTCCATGATTACCTATGGTCATTTCTCCTGACCGAAAGGCTATGACTTTCAATTACTTTTGCAAGCAGCCGAAATAGCCTTTCTGAGACGAGTCACTGGCCTTACGCGTCTTGAGATGGCTCGGAGTAGAGAAATCCGCGAGAGACTTGGTGCACTGCTTCTTCTAATTTAAAAGTTACAACTGCCATTGCTTTAGGCGAATGTCTCCAGAAAGGAAGAGAAACTACTGACTGTCAAGATTAACGTGGTGCAAATGTGTAAAAAAAAGTCTGCGCCAGACTCTGATTGTCTTCTGCCGAAACTGAGACTCTGGCACAGGATCGGTAACGTTGCAACCAGTCTGACGCATCTGTGCCCGCGACCCGAAAGCGGTCATAGAAGATAAGTACGAAGATTTTTAAGACCATATATTGTACAGACCGTAGAGGAATCACTTCTTATTGGTTCTGAAGAATGAGCAAAACAAGGATACCACCGATCTCTCGCATTAAACAGTGATATTCTTTTAAGGGCAGCATATGCTGATCACTTCATTGAGTATTGCAGAAGCTGTCCATGTCTGGAGTGCCGTGTTTCT